CTTCCTCCCTGCATGGCATACAGCCCCTGCCGCTTTTGCTGGCAGCAGCAGCAGCAGGGCAGCATCCTTGGGGTATTTGTGGCCCACGCAAGCGCTGCTGCCCAGCGGTGCATGGCTCCACCCAGTTTTGGGAGCTGCACGTGGTAGCAAGGAGTGGAGTCAGGCTGGCCCACCTCTATTGCATGGGGCTCCCCACTACACACGTGCACCACCGGGGGGAACCCCCGTGCAATGGAGCTGGTGGCTAGCCCCACTCCCTGCTGCCACGTGCAGCTCATGGGACTCCAATGGAAGTGACGGGGAGCCCTACTCCCTGCTTCCTGGAAAGAGATGAAGGGATGTGTGCCATGGGGGGCAGTGTGTGTGGAGGGTCTCACCCCCACCCCCCCAACACACACACCCTGTCCACCCGAGCTCTGTACTCCTGCCACATACCCCCAGGCACGGGCTCCGGGCTTTGTGCTTCCACCCACCCAAGCCCCATGCTCCCACCCATCTGCAGCTTCCCTTCCCCCCACCCTGCTTCCCTACCTGCTGCCCAGAGCAAGCTCTGCAGCAGGGACAGAAGAGCAGTCGCTGGAGGCCAGGGAAGCCAAGCAGGTCCCATAGCAGCTGCAGCAGTGGAAGCTGTGCGTGCTGGCCGGGCTGGGGCCTTCCCATGCACAAGGGTGGGAGTGAGGCACGTGGGCTGGGTGGGGTACAATTAATTAGTGGGCACCCTCAGGACAGATGAAATCACCTGGTAGGCTGAATCCAGCCTGCAAGCTGTATTTTACCCACCTCTGCCTTAGCCCCACACCAACATTAGAATTCAACATGGACAGACATCACCTTTGTAAGAAAAAGAGATCTGTTCTATTACCTGCAACATGACCAGACACATCTATCCGGCCATATTAAGTCTTTCTAATAAAAAAATGCTCCCATTAAAAAGAGGAAATAAAAGCTAGTTTAAACAAAAAGATGTCTCTAATATATCTATATATAGTAGCATGAGATTTCCTGAAGAAAAAATGCTGCTAAGCAAACAGCATCAAATATCTAAAAGATTCACAGTGTAACTTGTCATTAACGTCGAGAGATATTTTATTATTTTATAAATGAAATCCCAGCTCTTTACCTCATTTTATTTTCACCTACCATGTTCATGTTGGGATGAAAAAATTAATCTGTCATACTTCAGATTTCTTCCTGCAGATTACTATGTACAGGACAGCATTCACTCAGAAAGCTCAATCTGCATATTTAATAAACATAGGGCTAATACATCCATTACTCCACATATAAGGCTTGTAAAGCCTCCTGTAATTTCTGTTCACAGTTTTCGAAGTAGTTTAAATCTTAAGCTTCCAAACAAAGATAAAAAAAAACAAGCTGAAAGCCAAGGACAGCATGTGGATGAGAGAATGGAGAAATGCTGTCAGAGATGATAAAATATTGCTCTTTTGTTGCTTTGCATCACCACTATCGAACTAAGGCACCTCTGCATCGAGACGTGGCGTCAGGACAGATATAAACGAGGTTATAAAAACATTTCATAGTTTAAGAGAAAAGTTTATCATCATTTGTAATAACTTTTGAACCAGTTTTAACACACCTAAAATGCAGAGCATATACATCCAGGACAACAACTGGAAGCAAAATTATCTAAGCTTTTTCATAGTAATAATGAATCCAAACAAGAGACAATAGTTGAAACTAATGAGACTTTCACAACTCTTCCCGGCTGGAGTATAATTAAACTATTTTGCAAGTTCTTCAGCATTCAATTTTTTCTAAAACTATTTGAGTGCTATTTACTCATTACAAGACCCATGTCAACAATGTCTCACCAAGACCGTGGATCTTGCTTGTACTGCCAAAATAGAGGACACATTAGATTTATGCCAGGCCTTTCATATCAAAGGATCAGAAATATTGTTGGATTTTATTTTGAAACAATATTAAGCATAAAGAAATCACGCCCTCCATCATTGATGGAATGTGCAACTGTTGAAGAAGAAACAATAGTTGCTTCATATCTGCTTGTAACAGGAATTTGGATACTGGAAGTGGGAGAATTTCTAAAATGTTGACAGCCTAGAACTTGCTGTCAACATTTGCCAGAGCCCACATAATGGTAACTTTAGGTAACAACATTTCTCTTTCTTTTCAGGACAGGAACTAACAGTGAAATCTAGCTTGGCAAATATATATATATATATATATATATATATATATATATATATATATATATATATATATATATATATATATATATATATATATATATATATATATATATATATATATATATATATATATATATATATATATATATATATATATATATATATAT